CAGACCCAACAACATGAGAGAGCTGCTACTAATAAATCATCATTCACACCAAGACCGCAAGAAGCCTAAGGAGGGTCAGGCAGGTTTTGAATGTTGCGATGCACAGCAGCAGAAACAAGAAGCCACCGAGGTCTGTCCTTCTTCACATGTCCGACCAGATCGCCAAGGAACCTGACCCGAGGCCCAAGCCCAACGACACGAATGAATGAATGAAGCGTTCAAGTGTTCAGTCCTCAGACCACCGTATGGCCCCCATGATGGAGTGCCCTCAGTGGGAATCCCATTGAAGGCACCCCATCATTGAGGCCACAGAAGAAGGCCATCGTGGCGTCCACGGGCGTCTGACCTGGCCAGGTTTAGGGTTTAGCTTTAGCACGTGACGTACATTTCGGAATCGGCTAGCAGCTCCTGTCCTGCCCCAGATCGCCACATGCGACCAATTCGCCAATGATGAACCTGGCACGAATGGGGGGCAGACCCAACATTTGCTAAGGACAAGCCTCAGACCACCACTGTCGAAGAGGGCCATGGTGGAGCCTGGCCAGGCAGGTTATGTTGTGTGTGAGATGAGAATGCACAAGATGAAACTGGTGAGGTCCTTCAGATGACCGCGTCCGACCAGATGGCCAAGGAACCTGACACGAGGCTCGATGCCAACATGAACCAATGAGATACTTAGGCCAGGACCATCGCAACAATGGCGCACCTCTCGGCCACTGACCTTGCCAGGCAATGTTGCGATGCACAGCAGCAAAAACAAGAAGCCACCGAGTTCTGTCCTTCACATCACCTGTCCGACCAGATCGCCAAGGAACCTGACCCGAGGCCCAAACCCAACGACACGAATGAATGAATGAAGCGTTCAAGTGTTCAGTCCTCAGACCACCGTATGGCCCCCATGATGGAGTGCCCTCAGTGGGAATCCCATTGAAGGCACCCCATCATTGAGGCCACAGAAGAAGGCCATCGTGGCGTCCACGGGCGTCTGACCTGGCCAGGTTTAGGGTTTAGCTTTAGCACGTGACGTACATTTCGGAGTCGGCTAGCAGCTCCTGTCCTGCCCCAGATCGCCACATGCGACCAATTCGCCAATGATGAACCTGGCACGAATGGGGCGCAAACCCAACATGAACGTCAGTCATTCGGAACGTAAGGTTCATTGCTAAGGACAAGCCTCAGACCACCACTGTCGAAGAGGGCCATGGTGGAGCCTGGCCAGGCAGGTTATGTTGTGTGTGACATGAGAATGCACGCGAAGACAAAGTAAGACGAACTCGATGAAACTGGTGAGGTCCTTCAGATGACCGCGTTTGACCAGATGGCCAAGGAACCTGGCACGAGGCACGATGCCAACATGAACCAACTTAGACATAATATCGCAACAATGGCGCACCTCTCGGCCACTCGAAGAAGAAAGGGACCGACCACTGAAGTGAAGAACCTGGGAATGAATGCCAGTCAGTGGTAATAATTTGTAGTTAGTACTACTACTTACATCAAATTAATTTCATCAAATATTTTAAATGCTAATCTGCCTGAGCCGTGCCTCGGCCCAAAATAAGAAGACACCGACCAGCAGCCAGCCATGATCTGACCTGGGCTTTCACAACTCTGAGAGGGTTGGTTTAGGGTTTCGTCGCAGTGTTAAGTTATTCTTGCCAAGGCGCCACCTGTCAGACCAGAAGACATGTCTCAGTCCTACCTAGTCAATCCTACTGTTTGGTCCTGCACGGACCAACCTAAGGGAAAACAGGCTGACCTTAGAAATCCATTTCTCACCCCAGGCGTCGCCGTCCGACCATAGTCATTTTGGCATCGAGATATAACGACCCAGGGGAATCCTGCCGGGACATCAGAAGATGGTCCCACCCCTGTAGGGGCCATACCGGGCATTCTTCCTCTACTGAGACGGGCACCCGAGCGCTATGACGTCCGGCCATCAAGCTCAACCATGAGGAGAAAAAAAGGATTTCTAGGTAGCATTGTCTGGCCTTGCCAGTTTTTTTATCCGGTCTTACACAGACCAGTCCTACCAGGTCTTTCTCAGACCAGGTGAAACCCTGAATCCTGCCTGGGGACCGACCTGGGGAACAAATCAAAACCGACCTACCTGCCCTGCCCCTAAATCTCAAAATCCCTGAAAAACCGGATTAGGCCGAAACTGGTCTTGCTCAGACCAGACTACTAGTTACAGGAACTAGGGGCGACTGAGACCTACCGTTAACCTAAACCCTAAGAGCCCACCTAGCCTAGCTATTATTAAAAATTTACCGCCGATTATCTACAATCACCCTCCTACCACCGTTCTGAGGACGGGCTTGGTGGCTTTACTCGATGATAGGGCTCGGGCTGTAGGATTTCTGACCTTGCTGGTGAATGGTCCTGGTTGTGTTTTGCTTAGCAGAACAGTTTTTGGTTTCGGTGTTCATCCGTGGGATGGATGTAAAGGGTGGGGTAAAGAATCGTCAAAAAAGGCTAAGGTGCACGTGGCACTTGGAGGATCGGTTTGAGAGGGTATCTGAGATGTTTTACGTATTTCTTATTATTCGCGAAAAATACATTTGGAGGATCGTTTTGGTGGTTTGGGCGTCTGTCTCAAACTCTACTCAGAAAGTATGACATAACATCACTTACAGGAATTTGGTTTGGGTGCCTGAGATTTAAGACGTAGCATCGGGAGGATGCGAATGTATGTATGCATGCCTGAGATTAATCCCAGTCCAGGCAGGTCATTATAAAGATTGTTGTTCTGTGGTTGTTGTTGCTGCTGTTGTTTTCTTTAGTCAGTTTAGTTTCATATTTTTCATTATTATTAAGGAAGCATTACTATTCTGCGTTCATTCGGGGGATGGGTGGGTTTTGGGTGTCTGAGATTCGATTCAGACCCCAGCATCGTTCGGTGTCTGAGACTGAGGATTAATAGTTAAGACATAGCCTTGGGGTGTCTGAGATGTAGGACGTAGCATTGTTATTGTAGATGCACTTGTCGGTTTGGGGGGACAATAATAAGCGGCATTGTGTTGGGTGTTTGAGATTTATACCACTTGAAGTTTTAGGTTGGGTGGTGGACGGTTTGGGGCTTCGGTGGGTTAGGTCCTCGGTTGTGGGGGTTTGGGTACGGGGTTTGGGGTGGGCTTAGCTTCAGAGTTTGGGGGTGAATGCGGGGTGTGACGCGTGGACGATGGTGGACTTTGGAGGCGGGTGTGTGAGTTCAATCATTATTTTGCTTTGTTTCGGGGGTTGGGGTACGTTTCCTAGTTGGTTTGAGTGCTATCTTCAGCTGGGAACCTGAGAACCTACCACCTAAGCCTACAACCTAGACTGACCCGAATCCTACCACTTAGATTAATTAAAAGGTCTCAGCCGCCTTACAGTTAGCTACGGGAGGCCCATGGTCTTGCACAGACCATGGGCCGGGGCCGGTCTTGCTCAGACCGGATCAGGCCTCGGGCTTGTTCACGAACAAGCCGTCTGACCCGGGTCTTGCTCAGACCTCGGGCCGCCGGTCTCCCCTGTGAGACCGGCCCGCGCCTCGACTGCATCCGACCACTCCAGGGGGTTTTGCGGGGCGGGGACCTACCTACTAGCCCAAGATTCCCAACACTACAACAGTAACAACAAACTACCAATTCAAATCAACTACTACCACCGGGGTTAGGGATTAAGGGCCGAAGTCTGAAAAAACCCAAAAGTCCTACCAAGCCCTCGCCCTGACCCAAGCCAACCTACATCCGAAAGCTGAAACAACCCAAAACGCCAAAACCCCTAGACCCACCCGAAACAATGGAGTAAACCCCAAAATCATCCCAAATCTCTGGACCTCAAACTCTCAACAACAGCCCTAAAACCCTAAGCCCCGAAGCCATCCCAAAATCCTGAACTTCCACCTCCAAAGCCCTCCTGTCTATGACCTACAAGCAACCCAAAGCCCAAATACACTAGACCTAAACCTCCAAACCATCCCAAAACTCGAACCTAAACCGCTAAAGTCCTATGTCCGACAACACAACACAACCCCAGCAGCCCTAGTCTACTGGACCCCAAATCAAATAAGCCATCCCCAGACTACTAATTAACCTAGCCTCTAATCTGAAGCCCGAATATGTTTATTATTATTATCTAAATCTGGCCATCTGGCCACTAATTAACACAGACACCCAATGACAAACGTACACTACTTATTAAAACCTGGCTGGGTGTCCGACCATGTGCGGCGACGTTGAAGACAAACGAAGGGCGGCGCTCGGTATAGTTTGGGGCTTATGATGGTCTGACCTACCAAGCATCAGGGCTGTGAGTTTAGGGTGTCTGGTTTGACCTACCATGACTGTTTGTTGTCCTGCCATATGACGAAATTATATGATTGATATACCAGTAACGTCTTGACCGACCTGGATTTGTCACATGTGAGATCTACCTACGCTGGGGCCTCGGTCGGGGTTCATGCACGCACATCCTTCACCCCTGCAAGATGTCAGTGGTGGGACCACAGGCATCTTGTAAGGGTGAGGGATGTCCGTGCATCCCCCGACCGGCTTCAATTCGAACCAGGTGTTTCCACTGGAAACACCTGGTTGGAATTGAAGCTGGTCTGACCCCTGGAACCTCAGGGCTGCTGTTGTTGTTCTTCTGCATGCACTACAGATATGAGTGACCATGAACCCCACCAAACCCCAAAAAATAAAAAATGCCCGAAACCACCGGCCAGCTTATGCATATATGTACATGTGTACATATATATATATATATACACACATGCATATACATATATATATATATGTATATATATATATATATATATGTACATGTATATATGTTCTCACTCAACCCTACCAGCCTACCGACTAATGCCCTATACCCTTAATATTAATCCCCCAGCCCCCAAACCCTCAAGTCCGATACCCCTAAACCCCGAAACCCCAAAGCCCCAAAACCCCCCAAAACCCTCAAACCCCCTAAACCCTCAATTTCCGCTACCCCAAAAAGCATGGCCGCGCCACTGCGGAGGTTGAGACCCGCGGGGTTCGACGCCGGCAGAGCGGAGGCCTGAAAATTTAGGGTTTAGGGGGTTGAGGGGATTTAGGGTTTAAGGTTTAGGGGGTTTAGGGTTTAGGGGGTTTAAGGGTTTAGGGGGTCTAGGGTTTAGGGGGTTTAGGCTTTAGGGGGTCTAGGGTTTAGGGCCTACAGGGTGAATCCCGCAACCCGGCATCAGTGCCCACCCATTTAGGGGCACACTATAAAACTGTACTTATGGTTGGAAAGGAGATAAGTGTGGGTCAATAGGGGCTTGCTATGTCTATGTGTATATATATATATATATATATATGATGTGATGTATGTGTATATATATGTACACATGTTTGAAACATCGTATGCATAGGTTGACAAGTATGTACAAACTCTGGATATGTAAACATGAACCTATACAACTAGACCCTGTGTATATATATATATATATATAGATACAGATACACACACGCAGAGAACCACATACATATATACATATATATGTATATATGTACCCCAGACCCGTATTCTATGCCCCTCAGAAAACCTGCAAGAAACCTTACAAAGCCATTTTTCTTAGCACTAAGGCCACCATATCTTCAGCGGCAATGAAGCTCCTGCCGCAGAGCGGCTCCACAGATGTCCAGCAGCTGCTTTCGCACGTCTGCCTCGGTTCGGTCCAGGTCGGAGCGCCACTGCAAGCATAGCTTCTGTAGACCGACCTGGGCTTTAGGGTTTAGGGTTTAGGGTTCCAGGATTTCAGGCAGTCCGGGGTGCAGGGCTTGAGGCTTATAGGATTCTTGGCACCTAGGGCTTAGACCTATTTAAGTGTTCGATCTCTCCACTTGTGGCTGTTGCCAACTAGGCTCTGCTATTCAGATGACTACTGATTCCTGTAGCAAACAAGGTCAGGATGGAAACGCTGCAATGACAGTTGAACATGGCATGATGTAGATTGTGATGTAGATGTTGATAAACATGGCCACGTGAAAGGAGATGTTGATGCTGGTGATGACAGGCCGATGATTATGTAGATGATGATGTCGACGATAAACCTGATGTTAGAGGTGGTGGTGGTAGTGGTGGTGGTGGTAGTGGTGGTGGTGGTGGCGGTGGGGGTTGTGGTCGTGGCTGTGTGGCAGTAGTAGTTGTTGATGCTGTTGTTGCGGTAGCACGGGTGCTGTTAACACAAGCCACATTACTCGTGCAACGACAGCAAGTTAGGACGCCAGCGACCCCCTTATATCCCAAACAACACAGCGACAGCAACCGCTGACAAGAACTCAGACGATTCGACCTGCTCACCGGGTATACTTGCAAATAAACGCATAAGACGCCCCCAGACTCAGACTGGTAATATACTGTAGCGCTGTCGGAGCCTCAATAATTAGAACAGGGTTTTGGGGCCCGTTACACTATATTTATTGAAAGGAACTCCCAAAATAGTATTGGCGATTATTAGACCTGTATATTATGGAATGCTGTTTGCAGAGCCCTCAATATCCCTCGTTTCGGCTGAGCCCAGCTTCTCCGTTGAGTCCGAGGAGCGTGATCGAATGGCACGCCGGCGGCCTTGCACTTTTGGATTTAGGGTTTATATATATATATATATATATATATATATATATATATGGTTGTCAAAATTAGGGTCCTTTTCTGGGTGCCCTAAATATTAGGTGCCGTATTATAATAGGGACCCCAAAAGGGACCATCATTTTGACAACTACCTATTTAGGATTTATATATGTCCCATCCTAACTCGAAACCGTAACCTCAAAACTCTCTTCTCTTATCAAGGTGCTTTCCTGGGTTGGCCTTTAAACACCCTGAAAAATATCTATGTATAGGGTCCCTGATAAACCCAAATAAGGAGAAAACAAATGTCCCAAAATCCAACCTAGTTTCGAGGTTGTGGCTTGCAGGTTTCAGGGTTCCGGGCTACTCAGCTCCTCGACTCTCGGGCGCCAGGCTTTTGGCCACGGGATGGCCTACGCTTAGGGTTTAGGGCATTACAGTACTATAGGGGCCTCAAGAAATAGACTACGGTTTGGGGTATACTACAATTCTCTTAAAGAAGCCCCCCCAACATGATATAGGTAATTATTAAGACGCCTATAGTAGCTTCTTCATGCGCCAGGGGTTCCAAGTACGCTGCAGACCTAAAGCTTGCCTGCCACCCGCCCTGATATCTCTGGGCTTACAAGGATGACATCATTTGGGATTTCGGAACTATCTCAACGCCTGCAGCCTGGTCGGTTATGTAGGGGCCTCATAGTTCAACAAGGGCTTCTCTAAAAGCGCGATATGGAGACGGCATAACTCATGCTCACACCTGTCTGTTGAAACTTGTTCTTGCGAGCTCAAGGCGGTAACCCTCAATGCCCTTTTCCAGACGTAAACACCAACGATCAACAAGAATCCTGCCACTCTAAGCTGCCCGGAGAGATCAGGCTTTATACTCGGTTCACGTTAAAGTTAGAATAAAGCCGAGCCGCCTGATTACACAGCACCCTCCGTGCTTGTCAAGACTCACAAACAGCCCCAGCGGTTAACCCCTATCCTTAAACACTATACCCTGAACCCTAATCATACCCTAAACCCCGAACCTAGGCAGGGTAGAAGCCCTCATACCCTCCCTATACCTTAAACCCTGTACCCTGAACCCTAATAATAAACCCTAAACGTCGAACATAGACCCGGTAGAAGCCCTCAGAATAATTCTCAGCAGAGTCTTTGTGGTAGCCTAGGGAGCCGCATGTCCTCACCCCGCCATGAACCACCCCCACGGAATTCTCCAGGACTTAAGCTCTACTCGGAGGTTGATGCCATATGGCAATATAACTACCCATGAACCTCCAAGTAGGGTTAACCCAGGTCTGAAATAAGAAAAATCGGGTAAGAGGCATCTCCATCAGGGGCCTAAAGGACATGCACGACATTCTCAACCTGCCACCTAGCAGAGCGGTAGCCCCAAGGTTGGAAGGGCCCAAGTTCGTAACAATCGTATGCTTACACCAAAACCAAGTACCTGTATATTCGGTCCTTGGGCGCTTAAAGTTGCAGAACCCTTCCAAAACAAGTGATCTAGAACGAAAGGGGGTGGTTCAGAGCAACAGAGACGACTGGACCTCCATTGCCGCCACGGCCGACTGGCTGCGAAGGAGGAGCGTGTAGGCCAGCCTCGCTACCATTCTCAATGTAACTCCGCTTTATGATGCTCGTCCATGCAAGGTTTTCTTGGCAAGTATATTTGTCGTCTCTGGTTCTGAAGTCTCTTTACCTAAGACTCCAAGCAGCTCAAAGTGGGTACTATTTTTGGACTTCAGATACTGTTTGTATACTTGGAGTCTTAGGGTTTCGCTGCTTTGCGAGTTTTTTCAGATAATATGGGACCCTAATATAGTACTCTACATAGTATGTTCCTTATTAGAAGGACCCCGAAATAAGGTACCCCTAATTTTCGGAAACCCCAACTTTATCTCACAGCCAAGGTCAGACAACGGGCGGATGCTCTAGAAAAGACCCCCAAGCCGTTACTCGACGCTGCAAACTCTGATTACCGAGATTCTGGTGCTACTGCTACCTTGGGATCCGAAAACCTACCGTTTTAAGGGTTCTACCGTCTACCCTCTTATTCAGGGGTCATTCCCTACTGCTTTTGTAGGGTTTGGGGAAACAGGTACTACTACTACTACTACTACTACTACTACTACTACCACTACGACTACTACTACTACTACTACTACTACTACTACTACTACTACTACTACTACTACTACTGCTCCTGCTACTGCTACTACTACTGCTACTGCTACTGCTACTGCTACTGCTACTGCTACTGCTACTGCTACTGCTACGACGACGACGACGACTACTACTACTACTACTACTACTACTCCGCCTGCTGCTGCTACTGCTACTACGGCGCCGGCGACGGTGCAGCAGAACCCTATAAACCCTAAAGCCCAAAAACTCTAAAACCCCTAAACCCTAAAACCCTAAACCCCAAAACCCTGAAACCGACTCCGTGCAGAACGGAGTCCGTTTGCGGCCCAGGAGCTCACCGGAAGTTTCCCGGAGCTGACGTGCGAGCTTCATGGCCTCAGAGCGACGGGGTGCGAAGAATTCGTGCTCTAGGGTTCCTTGAAGGGCTCCTTGCAGGGATCGATAAGGGTGCTATAAAGAACATATGGTAGGGGCCTGAATGGCTAGAATAGGATTCCTTCCTTCAAAGGGCTCTATATAAGGGTTAGTATAAGGGATACTAAAAGGGCTCTATGATATAAGGGCCTTAAAAATTAGAATAGGGTTGTGGGGTACAGTCCACCACAACTTTTTTTGCTAGTTGCAGATGTTGCAAGGGTCCTTGTTGGGGTTTACGGTTAGGGGGGGTGTTCGGATTTTGTAAGGCGCCCTATTCTTTGCCTCAGGTGCGCAGAATTCTTGGTTTAGCTGGTTTGTAAGGTGTCATATTGCGTTCTTTAGGGGCTTACAGGGTTGAATCGTGTTTAACTCTCTTGTTCAACAACCGGGCCCAAAAAGTTCAAACTTTCTAGGATAGAGCTAATATATAACAATACTGAACTTAGAACCCTAGCCAAAATTATGATTTTATCTGTTTCTTAGGGATTATAATAACCAAAAAGTAAAAATTATGTCTAAGTACCCCTAAGATAAGACCAAAAAGTTTCAAGTTCCCCCGTTGACTATCGGTTTTAAAATCCCAAAGCAAGGGGAGGCTTCTAGCATGTCGGCTTGAGGGACCATTTGTGCTGGAGGATTAGATGCTTTTAGCTTCGTAGGGTTGAGGCTGATAGGGGGTAGGGTGTAGGATGAAGGGTTCAGGGTTCTGGAGTTGACGGCACAGCTCTCGCTGGATTTCTTTGACCTTAAGGGGCCAAGCACCTAACCATCAGATACCCCCCAAAAAAACTAACTCACAATTTCCTATACGACAAACAGAAGTATCTCATCACTGGTACTTTGTAACTTAGGGTACTCTGTACTACCGACTTCCTTGCAGATTAGGGTTTAGGTCCATGGGTTGAGATACGACAGGGGCATTTCCATGATCAACTAGGATGCACAGGGCGTCAGGGCAACATACCTAAATATGGCAGTTTCCGAGAATAGGGGACCCTAATATAGTACCCTACATTGTAGGATCCTTATTCTGAGAACCCCAAAATAAGGTACCCTTCGGAAACTCCCAGATGACGACTGTGGGCACCAGGGTGTGAAGCTCGAGGCCCGAATCAAGCGCGGAAGCCGGCGATGACAACGGCTGGACCATAAAAACCCTGCAGCCCGAAGCATTCAAATCCTGAGCCCTGAACCCTTAAACCCGTCAAACACCCGAAAACTCTCTCCTTGCAGAGTTTAGTCAAGTGGCCGCCCGAAGTGTCTCTTTGAGCGAAGCCACGGTGCAGGCGCAAGCCTTGCGACGCAAGGAACCCCAAGCTACAAATCCCTTGCGAGATATCTCTTTACATCATACGAGGCGGGCCACCTGAATCATCGAGTAATCTAAATGCCTCAGGGCTCTCCGAGCATGTGGTCGAACATTGAAGACTTAGCAAGGGTTTACTGTTTGGGGTGGGCTTGATGGTATGCTTTCACGGTGTGCAGCTTTATTCAGCGTGTCTCAGATGCTGCGGTGGAAGGAAGAGAACAAAATCCTCGACTCTAACTCCTGACCCCGAAGCACCATTCTATACATCCCAAGCCTTGTAAATTGCCGAACCCGAAACCCTGATGAGCCCACACGCTCTCGAGCGAGCGGCAAACAATCTGAGTAACAGGTGGCCAGTGACTCCCCCAAAAACACATCCTGATCCCGAAACGTGTATAATGAGGAATGCATGTGCTGTTTGGGGCCCCTAAAATTTAGGGTTTAGAGTGGCATTTTTCCTTGTGGGGTGTAGAGTGACGCAACCCCTAAGCCCTAAACCTATGGCATGCAGAACCATATTTCCACGAGCGACAAGCAACCACTCCCTACCTACCGAGAGAGCCTGAAACCCTCAACCCTAAACCTGCATAATGTAGGAACCTGATTAAGAAACCTTGGGCCTTTATTAAGGCTCCTTATATGAATCCCACTATTTTGGGGTTATAGGCCCAGGGTTTCTTAATCAGGTTCCTACATTAAACTACATTCTGGGGCAGACTGAGCTCTCTGGAACGAAACTCTTCAACATCCTGATGGAGGACTCCCTCAGCCTAATGAAAACCCACCAACCCATATTATCGTAAACCCGAAAATCCACAAACCTTACAACCCAAAACCCATGATTCCTCAAAAGACCTACAGCCTCATCCCTAAACCCTCAACCCTTAAACCTCAAAGGCCCTAAACCCCTAAACCCTAAACCCTGAACCCTTAAAGCCCAACAGCCCCAAAGTGCCCCGAAAGAGAGCTGAAACCCTCAACCCTTAAAGCACAAAAGCCCCAAAGTGCCCCGAAAGAGAGCTTAAACCCTCAACCCTTAAAGCCCAAAAGCCCAAAGAGCCCTAAACCCTAAAACCTTAAAGCCCCAACCCTCAAAGCCCCAAAGTGCCCCCGAAGAGCCCAAGACTCCACCGAGGCCTGGATTGCTTCCGGCGAAGAGCCGTGAAGCACATTCCGAAGGAGGCCCGTGTCGTGCACCTGTGATTAAGGTTACCAATACCATTTTGGGGCTTCTTTATTATGGCTTGTCCGGTTTCGGGCTTAGGGTTTAGGGTAATATAGGGGCCTTAACGATTACCTATACTGTTTTGGTGTTTCCTTACTATGAGAGTATATACAATGGGCCCCAAAACCCTATTATGTCACCAGAGGGTCCATGTACACTACCACAATGCAAGTAACTCCCTCCAAACCATGATAGGGATGGTTTTTTGGACCTAATTCCATACTGGTGGTGTATATGGGCCCTCTGTGATTATCTTCCTTATAGAACCCATATAGATCCCTTTAAGGAAGCCTTTAAGAAACCATGTTTCTGGGTTGTAGTTTACAGGTCCTTGAACGTATTCATGAATAGGTACCTCTATAGAAACCATAAACGGGAATTGAAAAGTTTTCCAAACTGCCACCTAGGTTTGTCTGTGGTAAGTCAAGGATTTACTGTTCGAAGTGTTGGGATTAGGCCTTAGGGCTGGGCTGGGCTTAGAAAAATGGTTTTACCATTTTCCTGCAGGGTCATATAAGAGGCTTGGAGGCTAGTATTTTAGGATTTTGTGCATTAGGCACTTGGACCCTGAGTTCGTTCTCGACGCGTACTGGGCCCACTTCAACACGGTGTAGGGTTTGGGGCTTTGGGGTGGTGGAGTACAGCGGGATTTGGAAAGTTTCACAGGATCGGAAGGTCTCTTATGCCGAAGGTTTTGGGGTCTTCACGGCGCGGGCTCGGGGTTTAGGATGCTCAGATTGAGGGCGCATCGAGACAAAGATTAGCTTCTCGGGATGCTAGGGGATCAACCGAATTTAGGGCCATTCACGGCCTAGCACCGATAGGTATGGAGTGGAGGCAGGCTTAGGGGTCCCGATGATACAAAAACACCTGAATCCCTCAATGCTTGGTCCATTCAGGATGTATGTGTGGGACGGAGGGACCATGCCAGATGCCAAGGGAGCCACGGAAGACTTCATACATACATGTATATATATATATATATATATATATATATATATATATATATATTTTTATACATACATACGTACATGACATACATACATACATACATACATACGTACTTACTTGCTTACTTACTTACAGACTGCATACCTACATACATACATGCATACATACATGCCTACATGCATGCATCCATGTATACAGCTGCGTACATGCACGTATTGCATTAAAGTACATTACCTCACCTCGCATTTCATTGCATTGCATTTATATGTACATACCTACCTACATACCGACTACATACAGACAGACAGACAAACAGACAGACAGACACAGAAGCCCATGTGCAGATCTAGCTGTCTACCTACCTGCCTGCATACGGCAAGAATGATAAACATGACATTATCCCTCTATCCTGAACGTATAACTATTACAAACCATACAGGCAATAATAAAACAATAACGACAGTAGTAGTATGATGTTAGCTTTTGTTATTGCTCCATTTTTGCTGTTATTGTTAGTATTGCTGTTACTGTGACTATTGCTATCATTCTTCTTCTTACTATTAGTATTGTTATTGCTACTGTTACTGTTACTACTAGATGGTCTCACTGTGATTAGCGAATGCTATTGCTACTACCGTTTTACTCTTACAACTTTTGTCATTGATATTGTTATATTACATAAATTACAATTATACTTAATATTGTTATGACTACTATGTTTATTACTACAAGTATACATGCGGCACCTCCACCTCCCAGGAGAGGTTCTCAGGACCAGCTCGCCGAAGCCACCTGAGCCAGAGTCTTCTAGGCTGGGGTGTATAGGGTTTATGGGGCTTTGGGTTTCAGGGTTTTAGGATTTAGGGTTTTTAGGGTTTTTAGGGTTTCAGGGTTTACGGCTCTAGATTCTTGGGGTTTAGGGCTTTAGGGTTTAGGGCTCTACGGTCTTAGGGTTTAGGGTTTTAGGGTTTTAGGGTTCATAGGGCTCTAGGGTCTTAGGGTGCTACGGTTTTTTCGGGTTTTAGGGTTTAGGGCCTGCCAGGCTCAGGGTTCTGAAGCAAAGGAGCCCAAAGGAAGGGAAATAGCAGTAATCATCCCCTGGGATCCACTGCTACGGTTGATGATATAAATCCTGCATTACCCATAATAAGGAATGTACCATAATTCCCATAGTTCAGGGTCCTGAAGGTAATGCAGGATTTACATCATCAACCGTAGGTCCTTGAATCCGGGATTTGCGAAGTTCTGTGCGGTCTAATCTTCCTGCTGTGACAGCGGATCTTCGGCTGAGAGGAAGGGTGCTCTGGTCGCCCAATTTCCTCGAAGCGACCATGAAGCATTAACCTACAACACCATGGTCATAGTGGCGCAGGGAATTCTGAAGGTGCTTTTGGAGGTGTTGCACTATGAAGCTGCACCGTTACATTTCAATACTGCAAAGGTTTTCGAGGAGGCACTAGCGTGCAGAGCTTATTCCTGCGTGGCCGATCTTATGGTGAGGATCCGACAAAAACAAATCAAAACAACAAGATGAACCCGATGGCTTAAAGCCCTGCAACCGTAAAGCACTTACAACAAAGCGGGGCGTCCGTCAATAAGTGTTGAAGCCCTTCAGACCCTGAACCGAACAAGGCGGCAAGAAACAAGCACGTACATATCAACATGTAGAAGTACTTCCCCGCCAAGCGGGTTTGTTTAAATTCCTGAGTCTGTTGTCTTACTTGGGTTCCTAAGATCTGTCGAAAGAACAGAATCTCTGAAGCGTCGACCCTGAAATTCTACGTCTAGACGTCCTCTGAAAGCTGTCGTAGAATCTCTATCAAGCCGTTTTGGACCTCTATAAAACGCTAAAGATGAGCAACAATAGCAACACCAGAATGAAACTGTGACTCCTGTCTTAGACGCCCGCAAGAAACCCACACAAACGAACACCCATAAACCTTGGGAAACTCCCCCACCCACAAGACGTGAACACCTTGAAGAACACCAACCGAATAGCACTCGAAATTCTCAGCATAACAACCGGCTAAGAAAACCTCAGGAGTCGGCCTCAGGATGTCTGTCCCTCGCCTGCCAGCGGCGACGATGATGGGCCGCTGGCGGAGAGCGTCGAAGAGCTCGTCGCTGGAGATCGGATCCTCGATTCTGAAGTGCTTAGGGCTCATAAGGTTCTTTATGTAGGGCCCCTTTGATGAAAGAATGAAAAAAGCAGGCTGTCCTACAAAGCTGAAGGTGGGGTCTATAGTTTTTGGAGGTTTTGGGAAACAAACTTTTAATGCATGCTCGATTTCAAGGGTTTGGTAATAGCACCTGCTGTCAAGGGTATGAACCATCGGTATGAGGTAGGCTCTCTTGTTTTTTCGAGAGGCATTTGTGGTATTTTACAGGGCTTAGAAAGGTTTGCAGGAAGATCGGTGATGATAGTTTTTAGGGCTTCTATCGGGGTTTGAAGTGGTGTTACAGGGACTGTAGCTGATATCATATGGGTCTGAAGGACTTACGGGTTTATGGCTTAGGAGGCGCCCTCTTTACTTAGGAGCCGGCGCAGGGCTAAGAATAAGGGCCTATCGTTTAGGGTTTAGGCTTTGCCAAAAAAGTGCTGGTACGCTGTACAAGGGTTGCGTAGGGAGTTGTTGAACTGTGGGGCTTGAGAATTGTCCAGAAAGGCCAGCTTGCCATCGTACCTAAGGCATACGATTAGACACTATGCATGGGTAGTAATCAAAACTAGAGTCCCTTATTTTTGGGTACCCTAAATACTAGGAGCCGTATTAGAATAAGGACCCAAAAAGGGACCATACCTTTGACAACCACCCACATACAGATACCACCCTCAAAGTATGGAAGTATCCGTCGTGCATTTGAACATCTATGCCACAAAAAACATCGTTAGCCGCCTCCTTCGGTTTAGTGCGCTCACGACTTGGGCAACTTTCGGTGTTAAGCTTATTGAAAACATTCAGGGCTTAGGCCCGTTTTGGGTGTTGGGTTCAGGATTTTTCCTCGTTGACCATATCCTGGGTTGAAATCTCGGTCATTGGGGCTTGAGGTTTTCAAATCTCTTGCAGTTCAGAGGGCATTGTTTTGCCGGGTCGGGATACATGACATGGTAAGCATAATTGCGATGTGCCCCAACTACCTGTTGTATCTGCTGGTTTGGGTATACTCTTGACAAAATCCCACCGGATCGGGCCTGTGGGATAGTGATACTAATGTATTCCGGCCATTTCTTACATCGGGAAGTGCTGGCTAGGCGCTGCCCCTTCCATGAAAGGGCTCTTCGCTTTGGGCTGACTGCCGTGAAGCTCTGGTCGTGTCGCGGCCTTCCCAGAGTTGTACAGTGCTTAAAGCGTCCAGGAGTTACTGTTCGGTGGAGGTTGCTGCTGCTCCACTGCCGCCACTCCTTCTCCTACTACAACTACGACGACGACTACTACTACGACTACGACGACCACGACGACTACGACTACTACTACTGCTGCTGCTCCTTGTCCTGGTGCTGCAGCTACTCAAAACGCTGATAGGAGCACAGAGATTATGAATGCTTGAATGGTATTTCCAGAAAAGGAAGCGGGTTTGCGAATTTTAGGGTTTCGGGTTTGAGGGTTAGGCTATGGACTTAGAGGCCTTGCTAACTAGAATAGTATTGTACCATACAGAAAACCCTCCGGTAGGCAGTCTTACACGTGCTTCAGAGCCCCAGTCCAGGAGCCGTGGTTTTGTTTTGGGGTTTGGGGCTTAGGGTTTAAACGGTTTAGGGGTTTAGGGGTGTAGGGTTTAGGGCAAGGTTAGGCTTTCCGGGCTCAGGGTTTGACATTCAGCAGCGAAGTGATAAAGTTGCGCACCGCAAACTCTCTGAGGAAGGTGTACCGAAAACCTTTAGTTAAAGGCATGTGGCATGCAGTGGCGTCCCTACAATGCAGTAAGTCCTTGCCTGACTTTACAAGTTAAAGCCTCAAAGCCCTTTGAAGGAACCCTAAACCCTAAAGGTTTAAGTCCAAGACCTTTATACACACATCCTTAGAGCCACGTTGAACCCGAGCAAACACTCCCAATCACCTGCAAGTCCCTGAAGCCTCAACCTTCAAACCCTAAATGCCAAACCCAAAAACCCAAAGCCACAAAATCCAAAAACCTAAATCTAACTCGAAAACCCTAAATTCCAAACCAAAAAACCCGAAGCCATAAGACCCAAAAACCCTAAACTACCTCAAAAAACGACAAAACTTGCTGCTCCCCCGAAACCTTGAAACTCCCCCCCCCCTCCAACACCCCGAAAGCCTCGGCGAAGCCGTAAACCGCCCGGCTTCCCAGGAGAGCATAGAACGAGGCACCCGGGCCGGCGCAGAGAACGGCTTGGAAAGCCTCCGTATTGGGGTTTAGGGTTTAGGGCTTACATAGGGCCTATGTAGGGCTTACTTAGGGCTCTGTAGGGTATAGGGCGTAGGCTTTATGGTTAAGGGTTTAGGGCTTAGGGTTCAGGGTTGAGGGCTTAGGCTTCACGATTAAGGGGTTTAGGCTTAGGGTTAAGGGTTTAGGGTTGGATTCTTGTTTGTGGGGGGAGTCGCCTGTCGCCTGTGTTTAGGATTCATGGCGGACGAGTTTAAAGTTTAGGGTTGAGTGCGTGTTCTTTGAATAACAGCACGGGGCTTAAGAGTTCCGAGTTTAGGGAGCACGATTCAACGTTAAGAAGGGCTTGTTGGCTCAGGGCTTCACGGTTTAAGCTTGGTTTCAAGGAATTGACGGTTAGGCTTTTTGGCATCTGTTTTGGGGTTTACGTGGGATTAAAGGAAGCTCACCCGGCCCAGGGAGAGGGAAACCCAAACTGCTAAACCTTGAACCCTTACAACCTTTTTTCGATTGTGGATTGGGTGGGGGGCTTAGGATTCACACTTGCATCATTCCCTGTGGTCAAATGGCACGAAAAAACTGCACCTGGTGAAGGCTCTGCAGCAAAAAAGACCCCGTGATCAAAATCAAACACAGCAACAGCCTACCCTAAACCGCCCGGAACCCTAAACCCCAATAATTACCCTACCCTAGACCGTACAGCCTAAACCCTAAATTGTAAACTTTCAACCCTGCAATTCAGAATGAAGGCAAAAACTCCGCCTCTTCGGCAGGACCCGGCAGACGCAAACAGCGCACTGCAAGGGGCGGACGAGGCCCTGTGGTCTGGCCTCCAGAGACTCATCTGCTTTCGATCAAGTTACTGTTGACTCATTACTGCTTATGTTTGCTTGTTTGTTTATACGTATGTTTGCACGCACAAGAGGCAGAGAGACAGAGACAGAGACGGACACAGAGAGAGAGAGAGAGACAGAGAGCGAGATAACAAAAATGCATGTTAGAGAGACAGAGAGAGGTGTGTGCGTGTGTGAGCGTGCATCAGTGCATGTGCATGCATGTAAGAGTTGTGAGTATAGTCAGCTGGTCTGTATCTACTGAAGAAGCTTTGCTGGTTCAATGTCCCTCGGCTTTCAGACCTGACTAGGTTTCACGACTTAAGGTGTCTGGCTTAGGGTCTGTGGATTTGTGGTGCTGCCGCTGTTGCGTGTGATAGCGCCTGCGAGTGCCGGTAAAGGCGATGAGATGCCGATGTTGCTGACTTAGAGGATCATGGGACTTAGTAAGTAGGTTATAATTGGGGTTATAAGTCCCCTAACTGGGGTTAACCTAATTATAACCTACTTATAACCTGACTTACTAAGTCCCACGAGCCTTCAAGTACACTATCAGCAGCATCGGTATCCTCCGTCTCCCCCTCTTAGAAGGTACTGTAATAATTGCAGGTCTTCTAAGATACTATTCAAGCCCCCTTTAAGAGTCGTAGAAATTTCGTACCCGTGACGCATCTGTCTAAGCTGACAGCAAATACCTCAACACGGAATACCCAACAACTCCTCTCCCCATTTATGCATGGACTCTGAAATATGAACTACTAGATCGCAACCGCAAACCCTACAATCAACTCCTGCGGGCATTCCAAGGCCCCTGCTGCCAGGAAGTCTTCTGGAAACTCCAATCCCGGGCACAGGCGGCTCCGGCGATGCTGGAGGTTTCTCATCAGCACCTCGGCATCAAAGAGCGGCAGCTGCCGTAGCAGTTGCGCCAGCGAAAGACATCCCAGAGGCTCCAAAACCCCTTGATGAAGGATATACCTTAACTCATAGGCTTAGTTAAGGGGTTTTGGAGTCTCTGACATAGTAGCAGTAGGCAATAGTAGTAATAGAAGCCTCAGCAGTCGTCCCAAAAGAGAAAGACAACAGTCAGAGCAAGGAGATTGGCAAAAGCCGGAGCAAATATCTTGACTTTCGGCTCTTGTGGCTTTGGCTACAAACTCCTAGCGAGGCCATGACCACTACAATTACCACGCCAAGCCGCAGCAGAGATGTATGCTAACATACTCGCAGGGGAGTTGGGCGGTGCTTCTCTCTTCTTCAACAACCGGGCCCAAAAAAGTTCAAACTTTCTAGGATAGAGCTAATATATAAGGCCAGAAAGTTTAAAGTTCCCCCGTTCACTATGTAAGGCTTTTTGGGGTGGTGTGAAGAGGTCAGGGTGCACTTCAGAAATTCGGGCTCAGGACAAGGTTTACGAACACAGATTGGTCCAAAAAGCCATGCCCTCGAAAGCCGCAAGTGCGATCCTTCAGCCGGCCCGAAACACTAACCTTAAACCAACCATGTCAAAACGTGCCTGGTAGCCGAGCCTTGTTGTTCGGGTGTTGTCTGATACCGGATACCACTATGCACACTCAAACAGCAGGATGCTGCCCTAAACCCTAAAACCCCAATACTTGGAAAAGAAGAGGTGGCTCAATATTTAGCTCATATCTGTGGAGTTCTAAGTGCCCTAGTTAGGGTCTCCAACTTATAACCTACTTGCTCAGTCCACTGATCCTTCCTGACAGCGCTGAGAGTATCGAAAACTTCTAAGAACCCGCGTAGATCCCTGACCCTAAACCCCAAACCCTTCCAGAGACCCTCATAGGTCCCTTTTTGTCGGGATCCTTACCCTAAACTCTATTCCCTTACAGTAGCCCTTATAGATCCCTGCTTTAGGGATCTATCTCAGGCCAGGGAGCAAGAATCCCCCGATGACGAGCTGCGGGTCTCCTCTGACCCAGAGTCCTCCCAGAAACTCTCCGTCGTTTCGGAGTCCTCCTGAGGATGTTAAGGTTTAGGTAGAGTTTAAGGGTTTAGGGCGTAGAGTTCAAAAACCTGCGAAACCCTAATTTACGGGTTCAAGTTCAGGGTTTATTTAGTTCGGGGCTTAGTGGCTGAGCGCTTAGGTGAGGCTCGGGGCTGTGGTGTAGCATGATTAAGGGTTTAGGGTTGTAATGTATCGGGGCCTCAGTACACAGAATAGGTTGTGGGGTATGCTGTATTGTCACCTTGCTACCCCAATAAGCCACAGAAATGAAAGGTTAAACTTTCCGAGTCCTCTTTAATACACTATAAGAACCCAACAAAATTAAAGGTTACCTGTATCCCCAAACCCTACAAAATAGTAGGTCATGACCCCTTCATTAGAGGGTCTAACCCTTAAAACGGTAGGTTTTTGGATCCACAGGTAGGTATTGGGGTTTTTGGGGTTTAGCCTGAGTGGCTTAGGGTTGAAGGGTTTAGGGTTTAGAGGCTTGTGCAGTTTAGGGTACATTTGAAGGGTTTCGGGCTTAGGACCTGGCAAGCAGGGGTTTCAGTAGGATAATCGCTAATACTCACGTTTCCAACCTCATTAGACAAACAACACCTATAGGCCCCTGTACAGCCTCGTCCCTAACCCCCTAACCCCTAAACCTAATTTTCCCAAGTAGAACCTAGTTGTTAAGTTGCCAGGGGGTTTTGGCTTGATAGTCTAGGGAAAGGGGGGGGGGTTGGTGTGGAAGTTTGGGATTTAGTTGTAAAATCGTGAAAGTCGGAGACATATACCGGTATTTATACACAAGTTTTGGGAAGCCAGCAAGGAATCGACCCCCAACCCTCATGGCATGTGGTTGAAGGTAGCTTCCGATATCAAACAATTGGGCTCTGTGGGTAAGTTTGGCAGTACCAGCATCAGCAGCAACAGTGTAACAGGAGGAATAACAATAAAAATCAACGAGAACCTGACCAACAATCCCACGAAATGCCCGAAATAGAATCTGCAGCAGCAGCAGCAGCACAACGCCTACCACTACAGCTTTTATCGGATGGCCGCAGAAAGTTCATAGTCTCCGTGCAAGCCTGGCTTAAAGGAATTCCGTAGAAGAATTGACCCATCCGGTGGTCTATACTAAGCTGCACCTCCTCGCTTGGCTCGGAAGTTCGCGGGCGCTTCCTGCTCAAAGGCTATCCGGCTCCCGCGCAGTTTAGGGATGATGCAGGGACCTCAGCAATAAGAACAGGAGATGAGACTTACTACCCCAATACGCCACAGAAATAAAAGCATAAACTTTCCGATTCCTCCTAAACTATAAGAACCGAAAAAGTGAAACAGTTTAAAGGCTAGGTATTGGGGATCTAAGGAGAGGTATGCTTTACGCAATTCTGCTAGGAACCTTAAGGAAAAGTGTTGGTATCTTTGTTTATCTTCTGTCTGAAATATTCTTGGATTCGGGTATGGCTTGAGGCTGGTGGGCTTTATTCGTTTACAAGTGGGGAAGGCCCAGAAACATGGAGCTCTTTGAAAGGCATACAAAACGTGACCCGGAGGGCGGGCGGGGGGGAAGCAGGGGTGGTAGGGTGTAGCACCGTTAAGACATGGGTGGTTGTCAAAACTATGGTCCCTTTCCGGGTACCCGAAAATATTAGGTGCCTTATTATGATAAGGACCCAAAAAGGGACCCGAATATTGACAACCACCCACATGGAACAAGGCTTCGATTTTTAAGGACTCGGGAGAGATACCAGTATTGAATATTTCGACCCCTCTCGCAGGGCTTTAGGCCTTAGATGTTCCCAACCGGCTGAAACGTCCTCATGCGGCTCCTGATCGACATTCGCGAGTCTCAACCGAAAGGGATCCTCCTTGCGCTACGTAGAACTTCAATTCGACTGGCCAAGTCCAAACGTGGAATGCCAGAAAGCAAAGTCGCCCCAAAGCCCATATCCTAGACCAGATACCTACGCTACTCCCAACCCCTAAACCCGCAAATCCTGAACTCCTAATAGACCCGTCTAGAACCCCTATGGGCCCTATAGGAACTCATAAGGGGACTCTATATTCACAAGCCCTACAACGGATCTAGGGTTCCTAGGATTTCAGGATTTGAGGGCATTGCCCTTGCCTTGAAAGAGCAGTATTTCAGAACACCATCAGAGATCCCTTATAGTAACCGCTTTAAAAGAAGAATTAAAGGAACCTCTATTCGAAATATCGAGCCTTGCAAGAGCAGCACAGGACGTGTGTCCCAAGCCAGCTGTGCTGGGGCTGCCGCCTTGGCGAGTTGTGCTCCAAGTCCATATGAACAGGCACTACTGCTAGTGCTACTGCCTCTACTCTACCACTACTGCAGCTGCTGCTATCTACTACTTCTACTACTACTACTACTACTACTACTACCACTACCACTACCACTACCACTACCACTACCACTACCTTGAACTGGTTCTACTGCCTCCCCTACTTCCACCACCACCACCACCACCACCACCACCACCACCACCACCACCACCACCACCACCACCACCACCACCACCACCACCACTACTGCTACAACAACAACAACTACTACTACTACTACTACTACTGCTACTACTAATGGTACTGCTACTGCTACTGCTATTACTATTGCTACTGCCACGACTGCTGCTGCTACTGCTGCTGAGTACTGACTAATGGCTACTAGCGAATGCCGCTGCCACTGAGACTGCAATTGCGACGCCACTGCCACCGCTGCTGCTGCTGCTGCTACTGCCACTGCTACAGCTGCGACTGCTACAGTACCGGTAGTAGTACTTGCCGCAACACCAAACGGATGCGGAGTAGCAGCAGGAGGCAGAGAAGATGCTAAAAAGCCCCCCCCCCCCCCGCCGGCCCCACGCAGCCCAAAACCCTCAACGCCATGCCACTGCACTAAACTCCTCAACCCTCACCCCCAAACCCTAAACCTATAGTCCCCTCAAGCAACCAGAGTACAAAAAAGCTATGTACACCGATTCACAAAGTTACGAAGTCACCTGATTTCTTTGTGAACCCCTATACCGCTGAACCCTATGAGCCTATGAAGATTCTTAAAACGAAATCCCAAAACCCTTCGGTCCAAAGACATCTAGTTGGACCCCGTAAGCCTCTGGATAGGCCGGCAGCTTCCACCGGAGTGCTACAGAAAGAAGACCTGCATCAAATTGGTTCCCTGGACTAGTTGTTGAGCTCCAATATTATCATAAAATACTGGTGCATAGCACTGGTACCATGATCGTCCATGATTGCTAATATTCTTACAACAACTGATCATGTTACTACTCATCTTCATCTTATATGCCTGACACCCTCTGACTCATGATCGACTAACCCTAAACCCTAAACGCTAAACCGTGGACTCTCCAGCACCTTGTTTGGGACATTGAGAGCTCTTGCATTAAGGGTGATGTCGGCTCTGCGGGATCGAAACGAAGATGTCGGACTTTGGAGGACTGCCCTAGGGTTTAGGGTTTAGGGTTAAGGGTTTAGGGTCCAAACTTGGGGGTTCACTCCGATTTTGGGCGGCTTTGGGGTTTCAGGATACAAGTCGCAAGCCATGAACAGCCGTGAGCCCTAAACCCACTCAGTTGTTGCAGAGCTTCCGGTTTAGGATTTAGGGCTGTGTTGAAAGTGGGCTACAAGAACACCTCGTGACATTAAACATTCAACAACCTTCACTGCAAGTCTGCTCGAAGGCGAAGACTCTGCTGCTTCAGACTCCGATGACGAGTACGAGTACAGGCACAAGGGATCAGGGCGGCTACTTTCGGAGTCTTGGCTTGGGGATCTGGGCAGTTTAAAGATCTGGATTGTTACAAGTAGGGATGCAAATACGGTATGTCAAGTCGAAGTCTTTGTTACACTCGATGAAGGTACTGCTATCTTGTACTGCACGCAAGTTTCAGCATGCCCCTAAAGTGTACCTGGCGAGCATGCGAGATCCCGGTTGAGCACATTACTGACAATTTGGAATTTGGAGTCTATATATGGGGGTTTCCGAAAATAGGGGACCCTAATATAGTACCCTAAATAATAGGATCCTTATTATAAGGACCCCAAAATAAGGTACCCCGAGTTTTCGGAAACTCCCATATATGAAGGAAAGGCCCAGATCATCCTCCACCCCAGTCTCTGAACTTTCGTTGCGTCTGAAGAAGCGCCGGCCACTCCTACCCAGACCCCCGGGAGGATCTAGAAAGTAGATCCCCTAATTTGGGGCCCTATACTACTAAGGGTACTTGATAGGAACCCCCTTTACGGGATCTACTTTTTGGATCCTCCCGGGGGTCTGGGTAATGAGATTCAAGGCTTGTGGATAAGGCTTGTAGGACATCAGAAACACTGAGGCCCATACGCGCGCTTCAACAGCAGCGGACACCGATCACGCAAGATGTCCATGGCTGCACGCTTCCTTCTGTAGCAAAACGACCCAAAAAGGTGCCTGAAGAACCAGCGTGACAAAACCTTACTCGCCCAGCTTCCTGGCGGCACATAGCGGCACTGAAGGCCAATTGTCAATATGGGGAGCATTCTACCATGTGCTGCTACCCCTTGAAGGTCTAAGGACGAGAGCTACCCACTGCACTAGGAAGAATCGTCTTGAACCCGGAAGCGGCGCGAAGCCCCTGGAAACAAGAGCTGATCGAAGATGGGCCATGGGAAACAACTCCCAGAAAAAGCACTTAAAAACCAATGTAGGTAAACCCAAACCATAACCCTGAGACCTAAACACCCCAAAATACCTCAAAGGAGACACCCGAAACCCCCAAAAACCCGAAACCCGAAGCCCGACCCACATTCCCGCGCTGACGCCGCAGCTCTGGATCCCGAAATCTGCAATCCCGCCAAAACCCGCATGTAAGTTTCAGGGCTGATGGATTCAAAACTAGATTTTGTTGGTACAGAGGTTAGAGGGCTCTAGGGTCTAGGGTTTAGGGGTTAGGGGTTTAGGGGTTTAGTACATTTGTTGTTGGTAGTTAGGGAGGACCTTGATAACAGGAACAGGGCTTGCAAGGATGCAACAGACGTGTCGAATCGTCAGAACACGGCGTTGTTCTACATTCTTCATATGGAGGCCACCACGGCATACTACATTATTGCTTATTCGTCGTACACCTGTGCTAAGTCCTAAATGCTGAAAGTCTGAAACCCAGACCTTACAGCTCAGGCCCTAGAGCCCCAAAGCCGAAATCCCGTCAAACCTGCCATGGGACCCTCCCAGAGACTCCAATATCCCTTAATTAAGGAATATACCTTAAATCATATTAGGGATCCCTATTATAATTTAAGGTATATTCCTTAATTAAGGGATATTGGAGTCTCTGGGCTTGCAACATCTCGAGAGAAACCTGTAAATTCCAAGCAACTCTAGAACCTGAAACCCTCCCACTTCTACAACACCTCAACCGCTAAACCCTAAACCTATACCCCCCTTAGAGCCATAATAAGAATCTTAATTTTACTATTCTCCTGGGTTTTACATGAACAAATATAAAAAGATAATTCCGAAGGAGACTGTCGAAACCTCCACTTCCTTGAGGGTTCAGGGCTTCGGGTTCAGGGCGGAGGCCTGGTTTAGGGTTTAGGGTTTAGGGTTGGCTACTTCCCAAGCCCACAAACGACTCAAGCCTGAAAGGAAAAAACACACAGTGCCAAGGCCACCCGAAAAAGAATACCATTGGCAATCCATGTCTTTCTGACTGTTCGGGCGCTTCGATTCTAGTGGATCCGGCTCTGGGCTTTCGGGCTCAACCTTAAGGGGAGTTCAGGGTTTTCCAGCTTCGGGGCTTGAGGGTTTAGTGTTTGGGGCTTTAGGACTCGAGGGATTTAGGTGCCGGAGAGCACGACAGGTAATTAGGGTAGGGGTTTAGGGATACTGTGCCATGTCTGATGGTACAAAACATGTCAAGGCTTCAGGAGTTGAGGGCCTATTCTGGCAGCCTGAAATTTTCCGAAAATTAAGGGGGTCCTCATTGGGGGTCCTTATAATAAGATCCTACCATTAAGGGGGTACTATATGAGGGTCCTCTATTTTTCGGAAACTCCCAGCTAGCAGACTGGGAGCTGAAAAGTTTTGTCATGCGGGCGGTTGTCAAAATTATGGTCCCTACTTGGATACCCTAAATATTAGGTGCCGTACTATATTAGGGACCCAGAAAGGGACCATGATTTTGACAACCACCCAATGTGGAACCCAAAGAATGATCGCTTGAAGGCATCCGGTCCCCATTCTTTATGACCCAGAAGTAACGTGACTGACATCTGCAATCCCTAAACCCTAAACCCCTAACCCCTAAACCCCTAAACCCTCAATCCTAAACCCCTAAACCCCGAATGCTCTGTGTTTTAGTCGCTGCAACGCTGCATCTTTGGGGCTTCCAACATTGTCTGCGCAGAGCATGCGGCCAATGTCCTTGGTGTAGGGTTTAGGGTTGCCTTGGCGGTTCATGGGTAGTGCTAAGTGGGATTATATAATATACGGAGGGGAACTAGAGCTATAACCCATATTAGGGGACTTATAACTCCATATATAACTACCCTTGAACCTCAGCAAAGGAGGGTTGAGTAGGGATGCTGGCCAACTGCACACAAAAAACAACAAGGAAATGTTGTTGCAGACACGGAAGCAATAACGATGAGCCGCAAACCCTAAACTCTAAATCATATCTGGCCATCATAGCCAGCAACGTCAGCACCTAGTGCTTCAAGGCACTCGGAATGTAGGGGCCTGAATGATTAGACTAGGGGTTTGGGCTCCTTTGTCGTGTAGTTATGATAAGGAACCATGCAAATCTTCAAATTATCACCGTTTTCCAACACAGGAGCCCAAGAAGAAGATCAAGAAGCGTGGCAACCCCAATAGCGGCCTAATTTAGGCTTCCATATTACACATTCTAGACGTAGACGATTCTAAACCCTGAATAGGCAGCTCTACACATTTTCGCGATGCCAGCATCAACGTTTAAACTCGAACTTCATCACCACCATGATGTCATGAATATGAACCGCAACACCCCAGCCGGCTTCAGATTCAGAGGTCCGGGGCTTTTTCGCAACCCCGAGGTGTAGTCGGCAGTAGTCGGAGTCTTTGACAGACAGAATCCCTTTCCTCAACCCTCTTGGTTACACGAGAATGCACTCCCAAACCTGATTCTGTTGTACATCGAGGCAGTACAACTTAAACCCCGAAATCCCGAAACCGGCACTTCCTATCTTCTCAAGCCTAAATTGCTCTGGCCATTGCAACAAATCAACACTCCCGATAAGCACACGGCAGCCTTTTGACTGATGCCCTGGGGAGCCCACCTGATGTCACTGTGGGGGAGGTTGGAGTTTGAGATTTAGGTGGGGTGGAGGGGGTACAGGGTTCTGGTGTAATGTACTTAGATCCCTGGCCAGCCCCAGACGCCCCTCTCAGGGGTATTACTCTTAAGATCTCTGATGGCATCCTCTTCTTTGGTATGCAGTGGGGGTCTGCTGATCTCTGATCCTGTGTCCACACTACGTACACGCCATCCTAGGCCACAAAAGCACTGCAACCCCAGATCCCACCCTAAACCCTCAACTCTCAACCCAACGACAGAGCCATCTCCGAAAACCGAACGCGCAGAACTCTGATATCGCATATGCCTGGACGGTTTATGCTTTGGGGCTTACACCATGAACCCTCAACGGGAACACAAAAACCCCCGAACACAAACCCTAAACACTAAACGCTCGAGTGCCTTGGCCACTTGCTGTTGAAGACTTTCGGCGGCCTTTCGTCCCAAGCAGCGGCTTTGACATGAGGGACTTTGGACTTATGGCGTGTTTAAGGCGTTTAGAGCTTATATGCTTCTTGCAACAGCCTCATAGAGGATTTAGACAGGTTATGGAAGCACAGCAGCAAGGCTTGCATCCGTTTCTAGCTGATTTCGGGAAAGGCTTGTAGGTTAGATTTGCTTGTGGGTGCTACTGAAACCTTCGTCACAGTTCTAGAGGGGCTGGCTCAGTTCATGCAAGAGCCTGCAGTGTCTCTTTAGAGCTTACATTGCCGTGTAGGATTTGCATAAAGGCGATGTTGGTTCATGTGCCGCATGGTTCCTTTTGTTGATGCTCAGGAATGAAGCTTTGAAGTAAGGTTTCAGGCTTTCCACTTCAGGCTTGAAACTTCGGCGGCTATGAAGCATGTAAGTTCAGGGGGAACAATACACTTGTTCTGTGGTTTCTGTCGTTGTGTGGTTCGTTTATTTATTACGTTTTCGATTCCATGCTGCTGAAGCCAAACCGGAACTAGCAAAAAACTTGGTACCAAATGCCATGACGGCTATCCTTGCCCTGGTTACCAGCAATCTCCGCAGTGTCAACGACGAACAACGTCGGTGACGGTGACGACAGCTAGCGGGCAATATTGATTTTCTTCCCACGTGTGTCTAATCACCAGCACTGTGGAATGACTTAACATGAAACCTGTAGAGGATCCACGACAGTAGAACTTCGGTGCTCTGGAACATGGGCCGCTCCCAAAACCCCCTTCGAAAGGAGCCCTTAAACGAACCCCAACAGGTATTCCAGACCCTAGGCTACAAATCTACGCTTATGCCATCCTGAAAGGAGCCCCTTCAGAAACCCTAAACCCTAAACCCTGAACCCTAAACCCTGAACCCTAAACCCTAAACCCTAAACCCTAAACCCTGAACCCTGAACCCTAAACCCTAAACCCTAAACCCTAAACCCTAAACCCTAAACCGCTGCCTGCCGCATCGCAGGCCCTTGAGGACCCGAGGCGATGTTGGCCTCTCAAGAGCTCTGTCGGGCTGCAGAGGGTTTAGGAGTTTCGGGTGCTTTAATGTAGAAATGAGGTTTAGGGTTTAGGGTCTTCATAGGGTTTAGGAGTTTCGGGTGCTTTAGTGTGGGGTTTAGGGTCTAGGGTTTAAGGTTTTTATAGGGTTTAGGAGTTTCGGGTGCTTTAGTGTGGGGTTTAGGGTCTAGGGTTTAAGGTTTTTATAGGGTTTAGGAGTTTCGGGTGCTTTAGTGTGGGGTTTAGGGTCAAGGGTTTAGGTTTTTATAGGGTTTAGGAGTTTCGGGTGCTTTAGTGTGGGGTTTAGGGTCTAGGGTTTAAGGTTTTTATAGGGTTTAGGAGTTTCGGGTGCTTTACTGTGGGGTTTAGGGTTTAGGGCTTAAGGTTTTTATAGGGTTTAGGAGTTTCGGGTGCTTTAGTGTAGGGTTTAGGGTTTAGGGTTTAAGGTCTTCATAGGGTTCAGGAGTTTCGGGTGCTTTACTGTGGGGTTTAGGGTTTAGGGTTTAAGGTTCTTATAGGGTTTAGGAGTTTCGGGTGCTGTAGGATTTAGGGTTTAGCGGTGTAGGGATTAAGGGTTGGAAGGTATGTAGGGGTTTCGGGGGTTTTTATGACTTTAAGG